GGCTTGTCATGTGAAATGCATCCTCTGCCTTGGGCAGAGAGAGGAGCATTGTAGGGAAAGAGAGCGGGAGGGCTGGAAGTCTTAGATTGCACTTTCTCCCCACCTTTGCAGATATCTGCACCTCAGGAGAGACTGTATTCCACGTGGATTGGGTGAGTAGCTCTTCTGGGAGTGAGAACGGAACAGGAAGTGATGGCACTGATAACTCCTCAGCACCCCGTCCCTCTAAAGAAAACTCTGATTTGATTTGGCTCTAGGGGACTGGCAGGCTCCACACACACCCACATCTCTCTCACACCGTTCCTCTTGGTTTCCTTCCTCCAGGGGCTCCATCCTTGCCTCCCTGGACACCTTTAAGAAGATGTGGGTCTCCAAGAAGGAATATGAGGAAGACGGTGCCCGATCCATCCACAGGAAAACCTTCTAATGTTGGGACATCATCTTCACCTCTCTCTGAAGTTAACTCCACTTTAAAACTCGCTTTCTTGAGTCGGGAGTGTTTGCGAGGAACTGCCTGTGTGTGTGTGAGTACGTGTGTGGGTACGAGTGTGTGCGCGCATGCGAGTGCCGTGTGGCCCAGGGACCCCGGGCCCAGAAAGGATGATGAACTACCTGCGATGGTGACAGCCTGAGGCCTGGGGTTGACCACTAACTGGCTCCTGACAGGGAAGAGCACTGGCAGAGGCTGCACTCCCTCCTCAGGTGGGCCTCTGGCTGGCTATGGGGGACTTCGTTTACTACCACAGGGAGAGAGAGGGAGGTAAGCCACCCCCTGGGAGACCTTGCTGCTGCCCATCCTAGGCTGGGCTGGCCCTACCCTCACCCCCACCCCCCAGGATGCCCTGAGGCCCCAGGCAGCTGCTGCCTCCCCTTGCTGGTCACTCTGCTATCGATGCCTCCTGACCACACATTGAAGATGGGCTGGGGTTGAGTTCTGTCTGATTTTGTTGCCATTTTGGTTTGGGAGGCTGGAAAAGCACCCCAAGAGCTATTACAGAGACTGGAGTCAGGAGAGAGCAGGAGGCCTTCATGTTCACCAGGGAACAAGACCACACCAGCCACTAGAGGAGAGCAGGAACAGTCCTCCCTCTGAGTGGCTGCAGAGTTAATGTTCCCAGTCCAGTCCCCTTCCGGGGGCCTTGGGAGAGTTTAAGGCGCCTGCTGGTTCCAGGTCCTCGCTTTCCATCTGTTCTCATTGCAATGCCATCTTCAGACAGTTTTATTTATTGAAGTGTTTGTTCAGTAAGGGGCTGGAGAGAGGGAACTTGCTGCCTCCCACCCTGCCTCACTAATGTTTACAGCACCTGAGCTTAGCCTAGCCTCCAGGGCCCCGCCTTTCCCTGCTGATGGTGAGAAGACAGGGTCCACAGGCTGCAGGACCATTTGAGATTGGAAGCTACACTCAAAGACATGCCCACCAGCCTCTTTCTCCCTCTTCCTTTTGCTCACTGCCCTGGAATCAACAGGCTGGTTGCTGGTTAGATCTTCTGAAACAGGAGTAGAATTTTTCTTTGGCAGAGGCCCCTAAGCAAGGGAGGGGTGTTGGAGAGCCCGTGCCCTTAGGACTGGAGAAAGCTGCAATTAACCAAGTTGCCTTTTGCCACTGTAGCTGACCAGGGGACTAGGTTGTAGAGGTGGGAAGGCCCCTCTGGGCTGATTTTGTGCCATTCTTGACCTTGGGCCTGGTTGGTTAAGGAGGGAGAGGGCCAGACCAGAGTGCCAGGAGCTAATGGAGCCAGGCCTGACTCCTAGGAGTGATCCAAAGGCCTTCAACCCAGATGGTACAAAGCTGGGGTCAGCCTGTCTTCACCGGCACGCTCACCTCTGACCCACCCCAATCCCAGACTCCACGCAGCGTTCTCCCCCACGCCGTCCTATGACCAAAGGCCCCTGCCAGGTGTGGGCCACAGCAGCAGGTGTGTGTGAAAGCGATATAGCGCCCCGCGGACTGCAGTGCGCTTAACCAACTCACCTCCCTTCTCTTAGCCCAAGCCTGTCCCTCGCACAGCCTCGCACAAACCACATTGCCTGGTGGGGCCCAGTGTACTGAAATAAAGTCGTTCTGATAGACACATCAGCTGGGCCTCTATCTGTCTGTCACCAAGGCCAAGTGGGAAGAGAGACGAGTGATAGGCCCTGAATCTGAGGTGGTGATTGGGCCTGATCCATCCTCTAGAGGGCATCGTTGCACCAGCCAGCCTTGTTCAGGGCATAGCCCAAGTCCCAGCCTATCAGGTGGATGCAGCCCAAGTTCAAGAGCAGAGGGTCCCACTCTTGTGTACATTCAAGCCCAACGGTGAGACTCAACTCCAGATGACAGGAGCAGCTCTTGACATCCCTGAAATCAGAGATTCTCAAAACTGTCATGTGTATAAGAAGGCCAGGAGCTTGGATGCACGCAGTGGCTCACACATGTAATCCCAGCATTTTGGGAGGCTGAGGCAGGTGGATTATGAGGTCAGAGGTTTGAGACTGGCCTGACCAACATGGTAAAACCCCATTCCTACTAAAAACAAAAAAAATTAGCCGGGTGTGGTGCCATGTGCCTGTAATCCCAGCTACTCGGGATGCTGAGGCAGGAACCCGGGAGGCAGGGGTGGGGTTAGCCAAGATCATGCCATTGCACTCCAGCCTGGGCGACAGAGTGAGACTCCATCTCAAAACAAACCAAAAAACCAGAAGGCTGGGAGCTTATTACAATGCAGTTTCCAGGGCCTACACCCAAATATCCTGATTAATCACTTCTCCACTTAAAAACTTCACTTGGGAGGAAAATTCCCAGGTGCTTGACAAATGGTAACCTATTTTAATCTTCCTGGTAGCCTTACAAAGTATATGTGCTTTTATTGTCCATTTTACAGATAAGGATTTGGAGCCACAGAAAGATTAAACAGTTTCCCAAAGTTCTGTGCCCCCTCCCCTTTTTTTTGTTTGAGAAGACTCGCTTTGTTGCCCAGGCTGGAATACAGTGGTGCGATCTTGATTTCTGCTCACTGCAACCTCTGCTTCCCGGGTTCAAGCGATTCTCCTGCCTCAGCCTCCCAAGTACAGGTGCCTGCCACCAGGCCCAGCTAATTTTTGTATTTTTAATAGATACAGGGTTTCACCATGTTGGCCAGGCTGGTCTTGAACTTCTGACCTCAGGTGATCTGCCCTCTTCGGCCTCCCAAAGTGCTGGGATTACACGTGTGAGCCACCGCACCCAGCACTGGCTTTTATTAATCTAGGATGTAAGCCCAGGCCATACAGCCTAAGCCTACATTTTTAATTACTATGCAGACTGTAAAAAAACATTGGCCTAGAGCAGTGGTTCCCAACTGGGACCAATTTTGCCTCCCAGGACACATCTAGCAATGCCTGGAGATATATTTGGTAGTTACAACTGGTGGGGGGGAGAGGTGCTAAACGTCTACAACAGAGAAATATCTGACCCCAAATATCTCTAGTGCCAAGTTTGATAAATGGTTTCTGAGAGCCTTGGTTTTCAGCCCCAGCTGCATGGCAAAATCACCTACAGCAATGTTCCAAATCCCACTGCCCAGGCCATACTGCAGACCCATTAAGTCAGAATCCCAAGGAACAGAATTCAGATGTCGGTATTTTTTGAGCTCCAAAGGTGACCCTAAGGCTGAGAACCTTGGGCCTGAAAGAGGCTCCTCTCTGACTGTCATGCCCAGCAGTGGTACGTGGGAAATGCACTGAGGCTGCTGGCTCCAGGCCTGACAGTCATTTTGGGCCCAGTGCCTATGCAGTTACCAATCTTTTTCTCCCTAGTACCTTGGTAACCCACCATTCTTTGTGTGTGTGTGTGTGACAGAGTCTTGCTCTGTCACCCAGGTTGGAGTGGACGCAGTGGCATGATGTCGGCTCAATGCAACCTCCTCCTTCTGAGTTCAAGCAATTCTCCTGCCTCAGCCTCCCGAGTAGCTGGGATTACAGGCGCATGCCACCATGCCCAGTTACTTTTTGTATTTTTAGTAGAGATGGGGTTTTGCCATGTTGGCCAGGCTGGTCTCAAACTCGACCTCAGGTGATCCACCTCAGCCTCCCAAAGTGAAAGGTGGCTCAAGCTGGGATTACACGCTTGAGCCACCGTGCCCAGCCTACCTACCACTCTTATTCAGAAAAAATGCTCTCGGGGGCTTTTTCTAGTCAGTAAGGAATCCTGGTTCTCAATCCCAGCAATCCACCACTCACTCGCAAAATACAGACATGAGGAAAAAGAATGGCTGACTTTAATCAAGTCTGTAAGGAAATAAACATCTTTAGAGGCTGTGTGGGGGTGGGGAGCCTTGCAACAAAGGAGCCATGCCACTTCAAGCACAGCTGAAGCAGAGAACCTTCTGAGAGAAACCACTAGAAGGGTGGACCAAGGGGGAGGTGGGACTTACAGTCAGCTTTCCCTGACTGGGAAAAAGGGAGCAGTTGCAGTATCAAAAGTGAGCCCACCACAGCGGCCAGCTCCGGCCAGGAAGTGGGGTGGCCTTCCATGCCCCATGGCAGACCCGTGTGTGCCACAGGGCAGCCCCATCCCTTCTTGGTCCTCTTCTTTCCTCCTGCCCCACTAGAGAATCACATCCCTGAGCACATACAGCCCAGCCCTTGCCCAAGCTGAGCCAGACAGCTAAGCAGGGACTTAGACCACAGTGATGCCCCTGGCTCAGTTCCAGGAGCTCCCTGCTGCCATGTCCTCTAGGCTGCACTGGAGGAAAGTGGTGGAGCAGGATGCGGGTAAAACTGGCTCCTGGCCGGGCGCAGTGGCTCACACATTTATTCCTAGCACTTTGGGAGACAGAGGCAGGCAGATCACTTGAGGTCATGAGTTTGAGACTAGCCCGGCCAACATGGTGAAACCCCATCTCTACTAAAAATACAAAAATTAGGCCAGGCACAGTGGCTCACACCTGTAATCCCAGCAGTTTGGGATTGGGCGGATCACTTGAGGTCTGGGGTTCAAGACTAGCCGGGCCAACATGATGAAACCCTGTCTCTACTAAAAATACAAAAACTAATTGGGTGTGGTGGTACACCCTATAATCCCAGCTGCTCAGGAGGCTGAGGCAGGAGAATCGCTTGAACCTGGGAGGCAGAGGTTGCAGTGAGCCCAGATTGCACCACTGCACTCCAGCCTGGGCAACAGATTGAGACTTCATCTCAAAACAAAACGAAACAAAACAATGAAATCCTTAAAAAATGGCTTCTGCCCCAGGCTGCCAGCACCATTCTCAGTGGGGTGGCCTTGGCCTTGCCACACCTCTCACACCATCTTAACATCCTGGGTTTGGGCCTGTGACAGGTTCTGGCGCTGGGCCTTGACCATGTGCAGGCGTCTCCCGTGCAGCGTGAACTGGGACCAGGTGAAGAGCTGAAGCAGCGCACAGGTGATGGGCACCAGCACCAGCAGGTAGAAGCAGCCCTGGCGGAGCGTTGGGGCTCGTGCAGGGGCTGGAGCTGGGGGCTCTGGCCAGGGATGGGCACTCCCCACAGGGGTTATCAGGGACTGCTGGAAGAGGTCATGACCTAGGACAAAAGAGTACAGAAAGCCATGGTCAGCCCACTGCCCTCCAAGCCTTGGTGCCTTCCAAGTCCATGGTGTGACATCTCAACACCACATGGATATGTCCAGATCACAACTCCTGATTCCCCCAAACCCGCTCCTCTCCTACTCTTCCTGTCTCAGTGACAGGCACCACCATCCACCCAATAACTCAGGCCCACAACCTCAAAGTCCTCCTCAGTTTCCTGATTCAGTTCACGCCATCTCTCTCCAACTCCAGAACATATCCCACCTGCCACCACCCTGGTCCAAGTCTCCATGCCCTCTGCCACAGTCTCCCAAAGATCTCCCTGCTGTCCCCATTCTGGCCTCCCTATGATCTGCTGTCCATATGGCAGCCAGAGTGAATTTTTTTTTTTTTTTTTTTTGAGGCGGAGTCTCACTCTATTGCCCAGGCTGGAGTGCAGTGGCACGATCTCAGCTCACTGTTACTTCCACCTCCTGAGTTCAATCGATTCTCCTGCCTCAGCTTCCCAAGTATGTGCCACCAAGCCCAGCTAATTTTTGCATTTTTTAGTAGAGACGGGGGTTCCACTGTATGTTGGCCAGGCTGGTCTTCAATACCTCCCCACCTCACCCTCCTAAAGTGCTGGAATTATAGGCATGAGCCACCTCACCCAGCCCAGAGAGAATTTTGTTAAAAAGTCAGTCACGGCCGGGCGTGGTGGCTCACGCCTGTAATCCTAGCACTTTGGGAGGCCAAGGTGGGTGGATCACCTGAGGTCAGGAGTTCAAGACCAGCCTGGCCATCATGGTGAAACCCCATCTTTAAAAAAAAAAAAAGTCAATCACACCATGTCACTTCCCTGTTTAAAACCCTCCCTAGCCAGGCATGGTGGCTCATGCCTGTAATCTAGCACTTTGGGAGGCTGAGGTGGGCAGATCACCTGAGCTCAGGAGTTCAAGACCAGCCTGGGCAACCTGGCAAAACCCCGTCTCTACATAAAATACAAAAAGTTAGCTGGGCATGGTGACATGTGCTTGTCCCAACTACTTGGGAGGCTGAGGTGTCAGGCTCACTTGAACCTGGGAGGTCAAGGCTGCAGTGAGCCAAGATCGTACCACTGCACTCCAACCTGGGTGACAGGGAGACACCATCTCAAAAAATAAATAAAAATAAAACCCTTCCAACAGCTTGCTTCTAGCACTGCCTTGATCAACAAAGCCCTCTTCACTTTTCCAGCTGCATCTCCTAATCGATCACACTTGATACCCTGAGCCTTTGCACCTGCTGTTCCCTCTGCCTCTCACTGAGACCTTTTCTAGACAAATCCTTGCCATTCAGCTCACATCCGAGGGTCACCTTCTCAGAGAGGCCTTCCCTGATGACATGGCATAGCTTCTCATTCACGCCGCCTTACATCACCCCAATTTCAGCATAACACTATCATTGCCTGATAATGTCTTGTTTGGCTGTTTATTCCCAACCCCACCCCACCCCTGACTAGAATGCAAGCTCCACGGTGGCAAAGACCTTGTCTATCTTATTCATGGTTAGCTCCCTGGCACCTAGACCAGGGCCTACAGAGAAGAAATTCCGTACATATTTGTTGAATGAATGAATAAATGAATAAACTAAGAAAGCATGGAGGAATCTGTGACCCAGTGACTCTAGCCATGTGGGGGGCACCGGTTGCCACCTTCCCTCACTGCACCTAGAGCCCAGGCTTGCCAGTCAGTGTGCCAGGTCAGCTGTGCCCCCTGGAGCCTTAAGAGCCCTTTGCCTCAGGCCGGGCGCGGTGGCTCAAGCCTGTAATCCCAGCACTTTGGGAGGCCGAGGCGGGTGGATCACGAGGTCAAGAGATCGAGACCATCCTGGTCAACATGGTGAA